GTGGCACCGCACCGGGAGGTGGCACGTTCAGCCAGGACATCACTGTGCCCCCTTGCCCTCTTCGACCCAGGGATGTGCCGCAGTCAACACATCCTCAGAGAGGGCAAATGCTCCTTTGCCGGGCTTGGGAACGTGCACCAGGACAGGGCGTGCTGCAGCACAGCTCCAGCCCTGCAGCATCGGGGAGAGGGTAACGAGGACAAGCTATCACCTCGCCCACTGCGGCATGTAGCCCGAGACGATGTGGCTTGGCCATAGCCCCCAGCCCAAGCGAGCCCTGCAGGACAGGGGGGTAGGTTTGCTGTGCCCCTCGGCCTGTGCCCAGAACAAGCCATGGATGTGCAGACACATGGGATGGGCTCTGGACAGCCACGCCAGCACCTCCCGCCTGCTTTCCTCAGCTCCTCGGAGCGGGTTATGAACCAGTCCCGGTGGGTCACAAGGCAGAGGAGGGCAACCTGCAGGCCGAAGTGCTGCCAGACGGCGGCAGGGCTCACCGGATCAAAACACTGCCGGCAGGACTTTGCTTATGGTGCTCCCTAACATGAGCTTGGGAGAAACCCACCCGAATTACCAGCAGAGAAAAGCCAGATGTTTCGAGGCAGGTTGCTCACCTCCCTGACCCGATCCTCCGGCTCCGATGCTGTGATGGGTCAGGGACACGCTACCCTGGAGCTCTCTGCCTGCAGTCCCTGCTACACACAGCGACATGTACCCATCACTGTTGGGGCGTGCAGGCTCAGAGCTCAGCCCAAGGAACGGTCACTGTGCCCAGCTCACAGCCGGCATCTGTTTTTTTTCTCCCGCGAGCTGACAGCAGGACAAGCGCTGCTGCTAACACGCTGCAACCAAAACTCAGGGGCTCGCTGCAATGCTACAGTCCGCAAAGGCGAAACGCCTGCAGACAGGCGCTCGCCGGGGGCGACGGCTGCGTGGGGAGCCGTTGGCTGAGGTGCAATGCTGGCCGAAGAGATGCAGGGGCTTGGAGCTCTCGCATACACAAAAAAGAAAAAAGAAAAAAAAAAAAAAGAGGAGACAAGCCAAAAAAGATGAAACAACTAAGGGAAGTCGCCGGAAGGTGCCAAGGAGTGACTGCTGAGTTCCCGTTATCCCTGTACCACCAGAGACAACAGATCACTTCCCAGAGAGAGAGGGGAATCCCAGTATCTCCAGAAGTCCCTTTCATAGGGAATCCTGCAGCCAAACAACTGCTGGAAGCTTCTTTTCCAGGTCTCTGAAATAAGCCAGCAAGACGACAGGCTCCATGAATTGCCGGAAGGGGACAATAAACAGCCGTGCTGGAGCAGGAGCCTCACCAAGGCGCTCTCTGTAACCACCCGAGCAGACCCCACGCACAGCGCTCATCCTGCTCGGACGCAGGCAGCGTGTCCGAGCAGGCCCCGAGCACAGCACCCACCCTGCCCTGTATCCCTGTACGCAGTCCCTTCAGACAGACTTGCTCCCAGACCTCGCCAACTTCCCAGACCCAGGATAAGGGCACACACCTCCGACAGTTTCCCCTGAAGGTCTCTGCTTTGCAAAGCGAGCACCTTCCTGGGGCAACACCGTTCAGGGAGCCCTGGGGACCGTTCCCCATTTAGTACTGGGGACTGTGAGGGTTGGACTGGGGATCAGCTGGGCGAGACGCATCCCCTAGGAGAAAAGGACAGAGAGGTCCAGGGAGCTCAGAGACCCAGGCAAAGCCGAGCATACCAGAGGCACACACACGCAGAAGCGGCTTTAACACACGGAGTTTCGAAGCCAAATGTCCTGCCCTGCCTGCCTGCGGCTGTGCCGGTGCCCATGGTCCAGCACTTGTGCCACAAACCAGCACGGCACCAAACCGCTTCCAGGCGATGGAGCCAGAAGCCCCTGGCTGGACCCTTGGCCTGACCTGCTGCACAACCTGCGAGTCCTCCAGCCCACCGGCCCCCTCCCAGAGAACAGGACCCAAAGGGGTGACACAGCCCTGCTGCCCGCTGCTGGGAGCCGCTCCCCATCTGCAGGACCAGGAGGTTCCCAGTTCTGCAGCACAGAGCAGCCAATCTCAGCTCAGAAACAGGCATCCTCAGGCAAGGAGAAGGCGTCAGCAAACCTAAACCATGGGGACACTAATGGGGAGGTTTTCAAATGTCACCTCTAAGTGAAAACCAGAAAATAGGAAATTAAAAGATCCCTCCCCTCTTTGTTTCGGTAAACCGTGACTTTCCACGACCATGTTTCCCAGTTTCACCTGGTGGTGGTAACTCCTTCAGCACTCAGTTACGGTTATTTCACAAGCGAGCGACAGCCAAAGCCCTCCACCGCCAGCTGAGAGCCCCCTCCCCAGCACCCAGCACTGCATGGAGAAAAGAAAGGAAAGTTTCTGTACCTCGGGACTTACTGTGTGTTTCTTAGTCATTCTCCAGAGGATGCATGTCAGGAGCATGTGGCCCAGAGCCGACGTGATAAAGACGACGAAGGCATTTTTGTGGATTGCTGAATCAACAAGACAACAAGTTTCCTGTTAAATCTGAGCCAAAAGCACAAGGGAAGGCAGGGTAGGCTTTGGGAGGGTGAAGGACTGCTCGCTGCAGGACGGGGTCCTGCTGGAGTCCCAGCACCCGGGAGATGCTGTGAGCCCAGCGCGAGCAGCAGTCTGGGGACCCGAGGTCTTTGCAGGAGACAGGCACAGCATGGCTCTGCACCCCCCATGCCCACGCAGAGAAGGGGAAGGGGGATTTAACGACGAAGCTGCTCATGCGTGCCCCGGCGCTGGAGCGGGGTGTGAGTTGCTGGAAGACTTATCCCAAAGGTGCCAGGAGGGTGGTTATGTGCCCTGGCACCTGGTCTCAGAGTCTCCATTGCTTCACACGGCTGTAAACCTCAGGCACCCTTGAGAGCAGCTCAGCATCACCGCTCTTGTTTCAGGGATGGGGAAACTGAGGCACAGAGGGGGAGCTTTGCACAGTGACCCAGTCCAAGATCAGGCCAGGGCTCAGGCACTGGTTCGTGTTTTTTCCTGAACAGCCTGTTGTTTTGGTGGGCAAGATGTAACGTCTCCAAACACCCACTTAACGCGGTATCAGAACAGCGCCTGGACTGCTCCGCTCCACGCTTTGAACACGAAACCCAGCTCTGATGGCAGCAGTGGGCTGGAGGGAGCCTGAGAAATCATCCCCCCGGTCCTCTGCACTGGGGCTGGACACCTCAACCCCACAGGTACATTTCCAGCCTTCTTGGAGGGCTCTGGTGGCCATAGCCTGTTTCCAGTTTGCTGCTTTAAGCAGTCACAAGGCCTCCTAACCCCTGCTATATCTGCCTTTCAAGAGCTTGTTTTCCTCACCCGTTGCGAGTAGGAAGATACTCTTGGT